CCACTTACTGTTTCTTAGGGAGGTATGGTAGGAGTAAAAAAGGAAAAATTACAGAAAGGTACAAAGAAACTTTTGAAGGTGATATATGCATTTACAATCTTAATTGCAGTGATGGTTTCTCTTATGTCAAAATTTATCAAATTGTAGACTTTAAACAGGTGCGGTTTCTGTCAATACCTCAAAAAAATCTAATACAAACTATATACATGAACTGGGCAGGGTGGTACATACCTGTAATCGCAGATACTTGGGATGCTGAGGCAGGACTGCAAGCTCAAAGCCAACCTGGGCTGCACAGAGAGACCTAATCTTAAAATAAAAAATAGAAGCAAGGTGTGGTGACACATGCGTATAATCCCAGCATGCAGGAGGCTGAGGCAAGATCATTGTGCGTTCACTGCCGGCCTGAACTGCCAGCCTGTCTCAAAAAAATAAAAAGTAAAAAGGGCTGGGGGCATAGCTCAGTGATAGAGCACTTGTCTACCATGCACAGCCCTTGGTTCAATCCTAGCACCCCCAGCCCACAAACACACATGAAGCAAAAATAAATAGGTTTATTTCCTGATGTTGTCCCTACCACAAAATGAAACAAAAGATACTAAATGTATGATAAAATGAAAACCTTTAAGCCTCTTATATTTACTTTGCAACCACTCCCTGACATTTATTTCCCTTGCATATGGTTAAGTTCATTCTTCTCACTTGCCAAGCCTCCACTCAGTGGAAACCCAGCGCGGTGTGGAAAACAGCAGGCTCTCCTAACTGACAGAGAAAATCACCCTAGAAAAATAATAGGAAATGTGCTCTCCTCACAGGTCCCTAACAGCAGGAAGTATCTAGCTTCTTGAAACTGCCCGTGGAGATTTTTTTCTCTCACAAAGTAGTTCTGTAAGACAGGAGGTTTTCAGAGACTGTCACTGCAGCCTGTGAACATGCCCACTAGTCTGCAGTGATATTGTAATTATGAGCGGCTGTTCATTTAATGTCTGTTGCCATGGCAATAAGACTGAGCTCGATTTCTGTTTTCCAATAGATACAAACGTGCAAATTTTCATAATCAGGCCAGAAGTCGGTTATGACTTTTACACCTTCTTCCACTTGCAGAGAGAGAACAAAACTTGATAACTCATTGTCCTAACCTGTTTTCTTTCTTGTTTTTTTTTTTTTTGTTTTGAGTTTGTTTGTTTGTTTTGGTATGAGGGAATTGAACTCACGACCTCACACTTGCCAGGCAGGCGCTGTGCCGCTAGAGCTATATCCCCAGCCCTTAAAGTCACGCTTTGGACACAGGATATTGCCACTAGTCACCTGGCATCTAGCCACAGGAAATCTCATCTCCACTCTGGTCTGACTAGCGATCGGTTTCTTTTTCTCCGTGAAGGCAGGGCCAGGGTGGTCACTTCCCCCGAGGCCGAGGCCAAGCAAACTTGAAAGACCAACCCCATCTCCCCTAGGGGCTGAGCTCTGAATGTCACCGCTACCATCATCACCACACACCCTAAGTCCTGAGTAGAAAAACTTGAAGAGCTGCAGCCAAAGCCCCTCCGGCCATTTCGGTCTCCCTCCCCCTATACTAGTCGTGAGGGATGCTCTCTGGCTCTTAAGATGGTTAAGTGCAAAGTAAAAGGACAGGCTCCGAACCCACCGCTGTGTTCAAAGTGGCAACTTTATGGCAAATACAAGGTTTTGATGGCCGTCGGGTCCGACGCTGGTACTGTGTTCCCAGCCAGGGGTCTAGAGGCAAAGCTCGGGGACTCAGCCTCTTGTAATAAATAGCCTGGACACTGACCTTACTCCTCCCCAGGCCACAGCTTCACCTGACTTCACCCAGGGCACCTCGGTACCTGATTTAGTGGGTTCCCTTCAAGTCCTTGGTCCTCCGGAACTATGGGCAAAACTGAGCAGGCTTGGTTTGGGAAGGTTTAGGTTGTGCTGCTTCGCGCCTCTCCCAGGCCCCCAGCCTCCAGGCCCCCAGCCTCCAGGCCCCAGCCTCCAGGCCCCGGGTCCCTCGAAACCTGAGGTCCTTGGGATCTCCAGAGCGAGGAGAAAAAGAGCTCTCTGGGCAGTGTCCAAACCCGGGGTGCGGCAGTCGCCGCCCCTGCCTTCGCCAGAGCCCGGCTTTGGGAAGACTGAGAGGGGTCACGGAGACGTCTTACCCGACTGAGCTCCTGCTCCGCAGCGCGGCTCCGTCTGACGAGCAGAGACCCTGACCCTGCTCGGCGGCGGGTCCTTATATCAGCGGAGTCTGGCGACACCTCGGGGGGGCGGGGACAGACAGAGGGACAGCCTGACACTTAGGGTTTCAGTGGCCCTGGAAACCTGGTCCCGCAAAAACAGCAAACTTGGTTAACTTTGGTTGAATAAAGGTGGGTGGAGGGAGGGACACTACTTTCTGATTTTTCCAAACCCTTTTCCTTTCTTTCTTTAGATGTACAGTTCTTTCTCTCGCTCAGGCAAGGAGACCAGAATGAAACCCCACGTCCTCCAGGCCTCCCCCTGGCCACCTCTGGCCCTTCCCGGGGCGCCCCGCTGTCGGCGCGCTCCTAGGCCTCCTCTGGATCCCCCCCCCGCCGCCGCCGATCTGCCACATCGGCGGCTTCCGCTGTCCTCCGAGTGTTGTGGAGGCGGCGAGGAGGTGGGACCGTTGGCACGAGGGGGCAAGCAAGCAAGTCAACCACTTTCACTTCCAATGCTTCGAGGATGTGGATTCCGCCTCCCTTCTTTTGTGAGTGGTTTCTTTGTAAAGGCGCGATGCCTGCTGCTTAAGTGCGCCCACACCAAACCGGCGCACGCCCCAGCAAGTGTGGCTGCAAGGGCGAAACGACCTGAAAGTTTAGCGATGGGAAGCAGAAATTTTTGTTTGAATTCTTTGGCCACTGCAGACCTCACTAGAGAAGGGTGTTGTACGGGACCCAGTTTTTAGTTTGCTCGTCTTACCGCACCTGTGCGGAGCGCGGGCTTGATCCAGCGCGACCCTGGGCACCTGCATGTGTGTGCGCTGCGCGCTGGTGACTGATACTGGGAACCGCCGCAGCGCGGACAGCGTGAGCGGAGACGCGGAGTGGGCTACTGGGGGCTGAATGGAACCCCTCAGGATGTAAGCAGCACTTGGGCACTCCTGGAGGGTTCAGTCAAGTCCAGACTCCAGCTGCTCCTCCTTCTGCCCGTCCTGGTTGAGTACAACGAACAAACTTTCGTATCTCATCTCTTCCAAGTCCTTTTCCCAGAACCCCAAAGGAAACTGTGAAACCGCACCCTCCTAAACTACTGAGGCAGCGCAGGCAGAATCTTGTTCTCCGGCTCTCCCAGCGCTCACTTTGAGAAGCAAGCGTCTCTTGGTGTGTTTCGTGTGCCCATGGGTGATTATGTGTTTTTTTTTAAAGGAGCTCTGATGGGTTCAGGTCTTGATTTTAGTCACGTGCAGTGCTTGATTTACTTTGGCAAGTACAGGAAAGTGAAACTGGCTCGGTATGTCTCTTCACACCCTCCCTCGGATCTTTAATTCACAAACAATGACTGTGGTTAGGTATCGGTTATTGCAGGCTGATCAGGTCCGGAATCTCCCAAACAAGCGGACAGCGAAGGCTTAAATAAATGAGACAACGGAAATGAGTTTCGGGCCCCAGGAGGTTCCAAACCCTCTAATAGAATTCTCATTTCTCTTGGTTAAGGCTCCAAACTTCCCTGGGCACCTGTATATATTTGGTTTTCAAAACAAAGGAGGGGAATACTGAAGAAAACACAGGAATCTGAGCAGGACCTTGAGAGAATTTTCCCACTAGTAAATTGTCAATCAGGAGAACTACCTTATCTTTAGCTTGGCATTTATTGTAGGAGTGTGGAACCTGTAGCTGCAGTCTCCTTTTAGTTAATTGGGGTTGGAGCCAATTAACTCAGTTCTCAGCTGTGGTCTTGTCCTTTGAGGCATCACAGCTTCACAGGCCAATACAGGCTGACCAGTGACTCACCTATCTTGTGTGGATCTCAGAAACTTGACTCATAGTGTGTCTGCCTCCTCCGAAATCTCTCATGTTTATGAACCTAGAGAAAATCTATTACCTCGATATTCAGATATACTGGATTTTAGATTTCAACACTTAGAGGGAAATATATGCTATTGCATATAGATCTTGAAACTAATTAGCGCCACAGTGGCGTGTTGGTACACAGAAAAGGGAGGTCCTCCTTCCAGTGGCATTTGTCATTTTACTGCAGTGGTTTCTACTGGGCTATACATTGCTGTTTAAACTGTTGCAGGCCACCCCACCCCCTTCCCAGACCTGGGAAAGGGTGCCAGTGGGTAAGGGAGAGATGGAAGTAGGAAATCAAGCCTGTGTTGCTGCATATCTTTCTTCCCACCCACCTCTCTGTCTTTTTCCCACTGTTTATTTCCTCTTGCTGAAATCTTCAAGTACATGCATCTAAGGCAGAGAGTCTTAGCCCTACCAGGGCCCTGAGATTTGGCCACTAATGGTGACAGGACCTGGTGTTGAGGTTCAGAGAAAATAAAATCAAACAAATATTTTGTATATTTTGTCATTGTTCCAGCTCCTCGCTAGGGGTCCTACCCCGACACTGAGCAGGCCCAAGGAGGCAAAGGGTGTGAACAGTAGGTGGCAAGGCTGAAGGGTACTCATACCTCTGGGAGTAAGCAGATCCAAGATTTGAGGAGGTGAGACGAGCAGGAAAAAAGACACATAGGCAATATTAGTGGTGACATTTGAACCACTGGGTCTAACAATGTCAGCTTTGTCCCTGGGTGGCCAAGATACATGCATCAATAGATCATTTTTTCCTTGAAGTACTTTGAGCTGGTCTTATTTATATTCACCATGTCCATTTTGCTTGGAAGACTTTACCAAGAAAATTGCAGAGATTATGTCATATAGTTGAACACAAACTACATTTCCATCCTGGAGCTGGGACAGGGCACTGCGGCTGAAATGTGCACCTCTGCAGATGGTATGTAAGAGCAGGCATAAAAACCAGCTCAGTCAGCATTCCAGTACAAGAGCTTTAATCTTTATGATCACACACCTGTTAGTTCTTACCTTACCACACTTCAGCCAACATCCTGGCCTTCAGAATGAGTACAGAAAGAATGACCCAACCTATCTTGTTATCGTGAAAAACATTATTCTAGGAATTTCTAGAACAGGATATATATAAGGAAATGGGGAGCAAAGCAGCCAGTAAAACAATCAAACTTTTCCAGGACAAAGAAGATTCACAATTCAGGGAACAATCAGGTCTTTCCTTTATATTGAGACTTCACTGTTGCTGCTGTGATCTCTAGGTGAACCGACACTCCAGGACTACCCAGCTCAGGACTCTACCCAGTACAGGACCAGCCCCAGCACCCCAGTGAGCTCGTGTCTATGACACCGGCTTAATGAAGCCATAATCCATGCACTTGATGAGACATTCCCGGGCTGTCTGAACCACTGCTGCCTTCTTCTCGTCTGGCTCCTGTTTGCCCACCACAGTGAGGATCTCCAGTAACTCACTCTCCACCAGCTTCTTGGCCAGCTCAGCATCCGCCGCCAGCAGGTTGTAGGCGATGACCAGGCCCCGGTGTTGGACTGAGAGCTGGTCATGTAGGCAAAGCCGCTGCAGAATCTCCAACCACTGGGGTGTCTGGGGAGGGGAAAATGGGTAAAGAAGGATTCAGGGAATCAGTGGAAAGACAGTAAGAGATTTATAGACAAGATAAACAGGAATCCAGGCCACAGCTAAGTAACAGCCATCGTCACACATATTCGGACATAACAGAAGATTATCATCCTCCATCTATTTATTTTCCAAGCTGCTTGAAAACCAAAGAGACAGATCTACTGCCTGTCTGAAAGGAATGAGCATGCAGAGTATTCAGAAAAGAGGATTCTCTCACGGGTACATGGGTAAGGCCTGCTTCTGCTAAGCCAGGTGCTCTTAGAGATGAGCGCTCCAGGCATGTGGGCATGCGCCCTACCAGGACTTTGACTGGAATCTCTCAAGAGTCTCACGTGAATCCACTCCTCTCCTCTTCCTCCATCACCCATCCACAGTTGTGAAGACATCCAGCTACTGTGTATGGGGAAGCAGGACTCTAGACCACTCTGAGCACAGATGAGAGGTAGCGATAAAGCTGGGAGTAGAACCAGGAGGCTGACTCCTATGCCCCTCAATAAACACACAAGAGACAGCAGGGTAGAAGAGGCAGCTGCCTGGGTTTGGAGTCAGAGAGACCAGTGTCCAGGTCCCAGCTCAGCACTTAGCAAGTGTACGACCTGAGCTAAGCTTTTCACCCTCTTGAAACCTTGGGAGGCTCACCTGTCATCTGCTCTGCCTACCTCTGACACTGCGGACTTAATGAGCTGATTCAGGGAAACAGCTTGGCACAGCGGCTGGAGTGTAGCAAGTGTGCAGCAAGTGGATGTGGGGAGAGATGATGGCTTACACCAATCCACGCACTCGCCCCGGGCCTTCCTCACCCACCATTTGTCACCAGAAATTGCTTTCTATGTGTGTCGCTCTCAGATGGGGAGACAGATGCAGAGCGGAAGAAAAGGCAAATGTTTGGTCTGCGCAGACATTTGCAACTCCGCCCTGAGTCTCCTACTGTATGGAAGGAAATGAACATTCGGCTAGTCATAGTAGGGTTCAGGGAAAGTCTCTATGCTGATATGTGGCTGATGATGGACCCAGGGCCCAGTCTCCCCAGGATATCCTTGGGGACTCAAGGGAAGGGGTGGTAGAAACTCAATCAGGATAGGATCCCAGGGAAGGAGGAACTATTGCCTGGTTTCCACGGGTGTCTTCCAACTGAAGTGAGACTGTAGGAACATCTGGCACCCAAGATGGTTGTACAAAATGTGGGTCTGAGAAGCTTCCCATGTCCCCTAGGATGTCCATGATGAGACAGGAATGCAGCCAAGAAATCTGAGTCCATCAGTAAGAATGAAGAAGTGATCAGGAGCAGATTGGCAATGCTGAAGGAGTCCCTGCCCTCCCCAACTAAATGTGTGTCTGGTCTTGGCCTGTTACTTTTCTGCACCTCAAGTTCCTATCTGTAAAATAAAATAACAGCTCATACCTCACAGGGCTGTTAGGAGGATTAATGTGATACATGGAAACACCTGGGGAAACACCTGGCATACAGTAGATGCAAGGGTCACAGAGCACCCATGTGGACCTGCCACCAGGACCACGTGACGACAGTTATTCCAGGAGAAGTGACTGTAGGGCAACAGTTTTGAAGTGTGGCCCCCAGGTCGGAAGTTCATCTAATCCAATCTACTAAGACAGAAGCCTGAAGAAACTGTTCACAAGTTCACACACGCTCCAGTCTTGGGAAGGTTGCCACTGGGAAGGAGGCTGCAGCCCCAAAACCTCACAGGGTAAGTAGTACACAGCAGAGATTCCTGGCGCCAGGACAACATAAGCCCCTTGAAACTTAGAGAACACACACACACACACACACACACACACACACACACCCCTTGAATTGGCCATGTAAGGGACCCTGCCTCCACCCCAGACGTGGGTACATTTTTCCATTTTTCACCATCAGTGGAAAGGAGTGCCTGTGTACCAAGCTCGGTGTGGGGTACAGAATCCTGCACACACTCGTGTCTGTGACTGTCAGCACCATTCCCGTTGTTTCTACTGCAGCAGCCATAGTTGCATCAAGGGAGCTGGTCACCGCATCCACTTTAGGGAACCTGTGGCCTCCTCACCAAACCACAAGTTTCCTGTGATACCCCAAGTACTTTCCCTCCTCTGTCTCGCCTCCTCCCCTGACTTCTTCTTCTTTGTGTGCTGGGAATTGCACCCAGGGCCTCCCGTATGCTCAGCAAGTACTCTACCACTGAACTACATCCCCACCCATTCTACTTTTGATTTTGAAACAGGGTCTTGCTCACTTGCCCAAACTGGTCTTACAGTTGCATCCCTGTGCCTCACCCTCCCAAGTAGCTGGGATTACAGGTGTGTACCACCACATCTGGCAGATCTCCATGCTTCTCTGAGGAGCTCAGAAACCCCACAGCAGTAGTCAGCGTTGTTATTATTGTTGCTGTTATTCTTAAGTAATATGTCTATGCACCAGCAAAGGCAGCGGGTGAACAACAGCCGGAGGGATTAAGCTAGCACACCTGGGCAGTCTAAATAATGAGCACAGGGCTCCACAGGGTACAGCCCCTCCTCCGCTTAGGAGGGAGGAACAGACACCTAGGCTGGGAGGGGTTGACCTGGGTGCTGGCCTCCCAGACAGTCACCAGGGACGCTTGGACTTAGGCTGGGAGAGTCTCTAGAGCTCACCCAGCCCTTTCCAGTCCCCAGGACCTGCACTTACCACTTGGGTCATCTTGAGGCACAGTTTCTTCTGGGCCGCTGTCAGCATGGCCAGGGCCCCGGCAGCTGCATTCTGCACCTTGTCATCATCCTCCCCACAGAGCAGCACCACCAGCTTCAGCCGGTCGTTCCCATCTGCCAAGAACCTCTCCTGAACCTGGGGGACACAGGTACAAGGCTCAGAGAAAAATGTCTCTCACTTACATGTGCCACCTGAAGCAGCTAAAGTTCTCCTACCCAGGATCCCTTGGAGTCTTCCCTTTTTGAGCAGCACACCCATGCCACCTCCAGGAGGCCTTCCCTGATTGGCTGGAGGAAAGGGCTGAAAATCTCTCCAGTGTTAAGGAGAGTAAGAGACTCCCTTTTCAACTGGCTGTGCTCTCTGTTTATATTCAGTGGCCTCTGGCCACAAGGGGCAGAGAGGCAGGCAGGCTGTTTGCAGTGTAGAAAATCCTGTGGAATCTTTCACTTCCCTGTAGGGAGGATTGGAATGTGTGTCCACAGCCCTGGGCCTTCTTAGTCTACTACACAATGAACTCTGCAGGCTCTGAAAGCACAGGGATCTGGGCAGGAGCAGAGACAAATAGGTATTTACCTAGTAAAGGAGAAGTACTGCACCGTCCCCACCAGGTAACAGAAAAGCTTTCCAAGGGCCTAAAAGCAGAAGAGTCGAGCAGGGCCCATGGCCCTAACCTATGCCTCAAACCTCCTCCCCAGGCAGGTATGAAGCCCTCACACATCACTACCTTGCTCTGCCCCATAAAATCAGGTTGTTCAAGCTTGAGGCCATTTCATTGGATCAAGTTTCCAAGATGTGGACCTTCAAAAGGGGACAAAGGTCACAGCCACCTAGATGAGACCCTCCATCTGCATCTCCCTGAAGCTGGGGCAGTAGAAGGAGCTCAGTGTTGTCCCCTCTGGTGGGGGACAGTTGTTACTGGGGAAGCAGTGGCCAGGTCAAGGACTACATTCTTTCTCCTCTTGCACCTTGCTATGGCCATGGCCTTGTTCTCAGGGATGGAACCCCAGCAGAGGTGAGATGTGTCACCACCACACCACCTTAAGTGACCGCTACAGATGCCTCTCCCATGGTCACTCCCCATTCACCACAGAATGAAGACCACTGCCAGGGCAGCAGAGGGCGAGCAGTTCTCAATAACAGGAAGCCTGGAAGCCTGGATCCCTGAGTCATCGCTTGGAAGTGAGCCACCCCAGGCAAATGGGGCTATGATGTGGTGGGCAGAAAATAAACCTCTCTACTACTGATTTTGGTTGTTGCAGAAAGGGTAGGTTGCCTCTTCCTTCACGTTATCTTTTTACCCCACTACCATCGCCCATCTCCTTGGACACACTCTCTCTCTCCCACATTACTGCCAGACCCCAGCCCAACCTTGGGCCAGCCCCACGGTGGACCCTGGTTCCTTTAGGTCCTGACTCTGACAATCCTTCATAGGTTGAGTTTTCCTCCAATGACAGGGAAAAAAATCCAAGACTTGAGTTAAGTATAGAGGCAAGAAAGATTCAGTCTCAAGCCAGCAGGGCTGCCTGGCTTCCCTTCACTACAAAGAAGGGGCTCAGCTTGAAATCTATTGTGTCTGATGGGATATCACCCTATAGGCTCAGCTATACCCTGACGAGAGGAAGTAGACGGATATTCACCAAATGGTTAGAATTTGTCTCCATACTGGACCTGGAGGCCTTCTGGCATGTTCTGAATGTTTTTTTCTTTGAGACATGGTCTTTCTATGTAGCTCAGGTTGGCCTTGAACTCATTATGTAGCCCAGGCTGGCCTTGAACTTGTGATCCTCCTGCCTCAGCCTCCCAAGTGTTGGGACTATAGGCGTGTGCCACCATGCCGGGCTTCATTTTATTTTTATAAACCCTGTTATTATTCTGCAATGAATATCGCAGAATATCATTGCAATTTCACGTTGCAATTTCTCAGGAAACAGGGATAGCTCATTAAGTATTAGCATTTTTAAATATTCTAAAATGGCTTATAACTGTATTTTGGTATTTCTTCATTATTAATAAAGAAATTCTAATAAATACAGTGGGTTGGTGTCGTTCACCTCTAAGAGGTCCTGGTCTAAAATCCTGCTTGCTCTCATGTTATTTAGGCAGAAGTGACTCAGGGAAATAGTTCTTCCAACTCATCTAGTCCAAGCTCTGGAGTGAAAGCCCCAGCTTGGGATAATGTGATGATGTAGCCCCATGGAGTGGGTCGGGGGAGGGTAAGCCAGAAAGCGTCAGAGAAACTCTTGAGTTCTCTGGCTAAAAGGCTACATTGGTTTTTCTCTTTTTCTTTTTCTTTTTGTCATGCTGGGGATCAAACCTAAAGCCTTGCACAAGCTAGGCAAGCACTCCACCACCCAGCTACACCCTCAACCTCGAAATGCTGCTTTAGTACCATCGTCATAGCCCCGTGTCTCATCACGGGCCTGGCTGCGGGCCTGGCTGCGGGCCTGGCTGCGGGCCTGACCCTCTGGGCCTTGATCACACCCCAGTCTCACCTCCTTGCTGACCACCATGTTGCACATACACTCGGTGGCCGCCTGGCGCAGCTGGTCATGATTCTCAAACATGTAGTTCTCGATGTCCGGCAAGGCCCTCTCCTTAAAGATCTTCTGTCTGGGGTGGAAGGACAGAGAAGAAGGTCCTTGAGTTCTCTGTAGTGAGCATCTGGGTTTTTGGCTACCTAAATGCATTCCTCCTCCATCCTGGTGATGTCCCTCCCACATCCTCAGCTCCTCAGCCAGGATGCGTGGGCAGCATTGAGCCCGTTCCCAGCTCCAGAAAGGGCACCAACAGGCACAAACTGAATGACATAACAGTGTATCCTGTCCCCAATAATGGATTCTGGGCCAAATATCTAAGCCCACTGGAGACCTTTGCATTATTATTAGGAAGGGGAAATTCTCCCTTCCCTGCTGGACATGATGCCAAGAAGAGGTGAAGTCTGCAGCTACCTGTGGTAATGAGGGGGAAATGCATCTGAGAATGAAGACAACATACTGGAGAAGAAAAGAACAGAAGAAAAAGGAGAAGGGAGGAGAGGAGAGGGGAGGAGAGGAGCCAGGAGGAGAAGGAAAGAGAAGAAAAAAGGGGAAAGGGGGAGAGAGGAGGGGAGGGAACAGGAGCTAGGACAGCTTTTTAACCCTTCCATCAAGTCATCTGAATCTGGATTACCCCAGACTTTTAATTTACATGAATCAATACATTTCCTTTATGCTTAAGCCAATTAGGGTTGTTTTCCTGTCACTTGAAAAAAAAATGGCAACCCAATATATTCCAAGATGGATCACATGCTATCCCACCTGAACACCTGGATAACTTACTACTTTAGGGACCTGGGCCTGTGCAGCCCTTTGGCTTCATATATTCACTATGCAGTGTTTCCAGACGTGAACTCACATCCTTCCCACTGCTCCTCCCGCCCCATGCCTTTGGTGCTGTCCTCCATGCAGAGCAGTTGTAGCAATATAATGTGTGTGAAACTTCAGCCAAATACTTATGGGACCCCTCTCTCCTCTCCACCCTTATCCTCTCTTCTCACCCCCATACCCCACTCACCGGAGTTTGTCACTCCGTCCAGACAGGTTGGTGAGGCCTAGGAGAGCCTCGTAGTTCTGAAGCCCATCCCTTTGGGTGTCCAGGAGACTCACCAGGGGCCTCACCACTTCATACACCTGTTGGTGGGGAGGTCACAATCGGGTCAGTGGGGGACCACATTCCCCAGTGTCTTGCATTTATAGGTGGCCAGCTTTAAATTTACAAAGCCTTTTCCACACTAGCTGACTTAATTTTCATGATGACTGTGAAAGGTAGGATTACCTCCTTGACTTTGCAGAGGAGATAACTGAGTTTCTGGGTGGACAATCTTCTTTCCAGGCAGACTCAAACCTGGAATCAGGTGACTCCAATTCATCCCCTACCCCGCCCCATGAAAGTACTGTACCCTCTCCCAAGCGGGGTGGTGAAGGGAAAGGCCCCTAGGAGCAGAAGAGACCATTGTCCCAGGCCACCCACCCGCTCCCCGGGGAAGGCGATGTCCGGGTTGGAGACGGCTGCGATCTTGGCGAGTGCGTGGGCTGCCTTCACCTTGCCCACGTCTGTGCCCGCCAAAGCCAGGGGGATGAGGGCCTGCAAGAAAGGGTGCAATCCCTACTCAGCCACAGCCGTCCAGAGGGCCCTCCTGACGCCCACTCCAGCTGTCTCTGTCCCATCAGAAGTTCAGGAGGACGCTGCAACACAATCAAGCCCTTGAGAACCACGGGAAACAGCTAAATACTTAATCATGGATCTACTCCCTTGGTCCCAATGCCTATTATGGTCCCTGCATCCCCACTTCCTCCCACCCATCCATATGTTCCTGTAACTTTTGGAACAATAACCAATAATTGGAGTTTTTCAAGCGGAATCTAATCAACAGCAGCCAATAATTGCGGACCTACTGTTAGATTTACATTTACAATCCCTGTGACAGTCTGAAAATGAATGTGGTTCTCTCACCCATTTTACAAATGAAGCAACTGTCACTCTGGAAGAGTAAATAATCTGACCTAGTTTACACAGCTGAAAAGAGAAAATCAACACTAAACTCAAGTCTGCAGAAAAAGTCTATAGTCTCTTTCCAACAGCAGGGAGGATAAACAGGATTCCAAAGTACATACTGTGGTACCCTTAAATCAAGTAGATTGGTCTGAGGCCACGGCAGAAATACGGAAGATAACTGAGTGGCTGTACTCCAGGTTGGGTTGGGTAGGGAGGGCATGATTCTTGGGCCAGGCAAGAGGCACGCACACATACACACAACCATACACGCATGCACAGACACATGGTGTGTGCTCCTCTGTGGCAGGTCACCTTCTACGATGAACTTTCTCTCGCCCAATTACCTTGCCGCCACCTTGAGCCACAATGGTACCTCGGTCCCTTGGGTTGTCACACAGGGCCAGGAATACCCTGCAGGGCCGAGGATAGAGGAGACTATTTAGTGCACCCGCACCCTTTCCAAAGCACCCCAGCCCAGCCAGTCTGAGCTGGGGAAACCCAAGGACCAACAGTGGAAGCCAGGAGAGGGGAACCTGTGTGCCACGCCCAGAGTGAGCCAACCTGGGGAGACGCTGCCATGGGTGTACATGTCCGGGGAGGAATAAGGCCAAGTGGGGCTGCAGAGGCACCCATTCCCCCGATGGAGACAGCCACGGGCTCCTGGCTGCTCCTTTCTCCCCAGGAGAAACTCTCCACCTCCATGGTCCGGCCCTGGCCTCCTCTCTCAGGTCTCATCTAGCAGTAATTTCTCCAAGCACCCCAGACCCCAGACATACCACAGGGGAACCCCAAAATTCACTCATTCTCCCTCTGTCTTGGTGTCTTTGTGTACCCTACCTCTTTGCCTAGAAACCTTCCCCGCCTGCATTTGGACGGCTTGTTTTCTTCCCTCTGCCAGGAGGCCTTCCTGACTGCCCTCACACGCCCTCCAGGCTGGCTGGCTGGGTGGCTTGTGCTTCAACCAGCCCTCTGTGTTTCCCTGTCATGGTGCCCACTGCACTGTCCTGTAACCATGATGCGCCTGCACCCGCCCAGTCTGCACAGACACCGTGCCTTTAATCTCTGGGAACAAGGTAACCAGAGTGGACAGTGACTGCCTCCTGATGCAAACTTCTGCCTGTGGTAACCTGCTGTGTCACGTCACATTTTAGCTTTGATCACTTTAAGTCTCTCTCTGGGACACCCAGCAGCTCATAGCCTCACTTAGTCTCCCACCGTTTGCATCCTCCCACGCAGGCTCCTGCCCACCAGACCCCCAGGCCCAGCCTGCTGCAGCAGCACCTGGCCAGCAGCTCCTTGGTCTGGTCAGTAAGGATGGCGTTGTCTGCTTTCACCATGCAGGCCAGGGCGGAGATGACACCTGCCTTCAGGAGCCGCTTCACGCGCATGTCTACAAAGTCCTTCTTGTCCTGGGGGAACAAAAGGGTGGCCATGGGGAAAGGGCCTGGGCATCAGGCCAAACTGTTCTGGAAGTAAAAATGGTGCATTTGTGATTTCTTGTGGTAGGTTAAGTCATGGTCCCCAAAGATGTCTGCAACCTAATCCCTGGAGCCTGAGAATGTGTGACCTTCCATGACAAAACAATCCCAAGCAATCTCAATATCATCACAAATACCAGGTGTCTCAAAACAATCACAGGGCTATAACTCAGCGGCACAAGTGCCTGCCTGGCAAGCACAAAGTCCTGAGTTCAATTTCTCGTACAAAAACAAAACAAAACAATCTCGGGATCACCACAAAGCAGTAGGGTCCGAGTAAATACTAGGAAATGTGGCAACTGAAGAAGAGGTCAGAGTAGTTCAAGGTCATAAGGCAAGGAACATAAGTGGCTTCTACAAGCTGAAAAGGGCAAGGAATAGGATGCCAGAAGGAACCAGCCCTTGACTTTAGTTTAACTCAAGTGAACAAATTTTAGGACTTCTGCCACTTGAAACAAAAAGAACATCAACCCAATACATTCACCGTCTACCTACTTCCAAGATGGAAAGATAACTGAGCCCCCAGCCACCCCAATAGACACCTTACTATTTGTGCTTTCACTGCACTGTTTCAGGCAATGTGCTATGGAAACAATAGGGAAAGAATACACTTCTCCGGGTTCCCTTTGCAAAATCACCTGCTCAGAAGTGCACAGCCCATTGTGCTGCTGGGAACATAGGCCTCTCCTCAGCCTCGCTCTCCCCACCCCCAGTACAGAGGCCAGGGAGCTGATGCCATAGGAAAAGCAATCCCAAAGATTCTCCTACTCATAGAGGAGTGAAATGAAAGAGAGATGATCCAACTCACCAGAGGACCCAGATGTTGCTTTTTTTCGAAGGCTGACTTTCCACTGGGGAGGGGGTGGTGAGTTGTGGGAGAAGATACAGATGAGTGAAAGGGGATGGATGGCAAAGGGGGCTGATGGGTTGGATTTTGCCAGAAATACAAAGCCAGCCCAAGTTGGAGTCACCATGACAGATAACTCTCAGAGCGGGTGGTCAGGAAGAAGGGACGTTGTGTGCCATGTCTGGGAGCACACGCGCACTTCACAGCAGCAGAATGTGCTGCACACCCTTGCCGAGATGAAATACGATGCGATGATTAAAAACTGATTCCAAGAAGGAGATGAGATGGCAAAGTGGAAAACACGCAAAGGATTTTCCCAAGATTGGACACAAGACAACTACATTCTGGTGATAACTAAAGAGAGAGGGAAAAAAAAGATGCACAAGGGGAAAATAAAGCCTCTAGTGGCTAATGCAGCATGCCAGAATGCCAACAGTGGTCATGCGTGATAACCTCCTGGTGAGTGCTCTTCCTCTGCTCTGCTGCCCACCTTTTTGTTTGTTTTGCTACACAGGCGTATTGCTTGGATCATTTTACAAATCTAAATGGTTTCACTGGCTGGGGCTATTTTGTAAACATAGGTACAGTTAAATCACATACAAATCATATACTTGTGTCCAGGGAATTATCATATCTTTGTGTTGGGGGCCCAAAGGGATGGGTGACATCTGGGCTAATAATGCTGACCCAGATCCTTCCCCTACTCAGCAGCCACTTCCCCAAATCCAGATACCCCCGAAAATCAATTTCTTACATCTTGGAAGCATGAAATAAAACCATCTCATAGCCATGAAATCAATTATATGATCTGTAAAATGTTCTTCATGGCTTCATTTGTTTAGTCAGACTACAAAATTGTTCTCTTTCCAAGATAGAAAATTAAAACAAAAGCCACAGGCGCCACCTGGTGGGGGAATTCGCCATGTCCTCTTCAAACAGTCCATATTGTAACCTCAAATCACATCCCTCACCCTGCACACCACCATTTTTCTGTTCCACTACCTCCTCTGGAAGTCTGAGGAAGCAGGCCCCCTGCCAGGCTGTGCCCGTACCCACCTTGGGGTGCTCCTCAGGCACATGCTGCTTGGAGAACTTGGCAAGCTGCACCAGCTCAGGGATGACCTCCTTCACATCGTAGCTGTTGGTACAGTTCACCAGGGTGGTGGCCACTGAGTACAGGATGGTCTTGTCACTGGTCTGAAGGCACCGGGTTAGAAAGAAAGGCAGAAAAGCACTTTGGAACCAGGCTGTTCTTTCAAGACAGCTTCCTGACCAGCATGCTGGTGGCTTTGGAAGGAGCACATTGGTGGGGCTCATCTTGCAGGAGCACAGCGGTACAGAGGGAGAAGAATCTGCCCTGCTCCTTAAGCCTGGGCACAAATGCATCCTGAATCTTTCACAGCACCCTTGAGAGTGTGATGAGGAGTTTTACCCAGCTCCTTGCTTGCTGCCTCTCAGGAGCGCAGTCCCACACACTTCCACCTGCCCAGGTGGGGCTGGTTGGGCCGCGGACACCCTCTGCGCTGACCCTGGGAGGATCCCTCCCACATTTGCACAGCAGCTGAGGAAGCACTGCCACTGTCCCTCCCCTACAACCTCACACCTGAGGGACAGTGATAAACAAGGACATCCTCTTCATCACCCTCCCCCTGCCTAGAAGCCATGCAGAGCATCCAGCTCATTTACAGCCAGGTCAGAGCAGGACCAGAAGAGGGAAGCGCCAGTCCAGGTTTGCGTGGTGGAGGGGTTGAGCCACGACAAAGGCACAGCAGGACAGTCGCTGTGGACTTGGGTCCAGAAGCCCTCTCCCGTGGCTGGAGATCAGAGCCACACTTGCCTTGGCCAGCTCGAACATGGCCTGCAGCGCAGGGATGTCCTGGACAAAGTCGTCCTTCACATCAGCGTCCAGTGTGAGGTAGGCCAGGCCCTCCACTGCCCAGCGCCGGGTCCGCGTGTCTATGGCACTGTTGCACAGCCACCTAGAAGAGGAGAGGAAGAGCTGCTGGGGGAGGTTGGGGCGCCCAGCAAGAGTAAGGTGATTTCAGGATAGCAGAGAGCAAGTGGGGCCCTTCTTACCCAATATCCACTAGAGTGTCCCCGAGACCCCCGCGTGCAAGCCCAGGAGGGACAGAGGGCCCAGGCGGTACATACAAGCCCCTTACTTGCGGCACTGCTTGGCCAGCTTCTCGGTGGACCCTTCAGCAAACTGCCTGAGTCCGTAGTCTGTGCCACCCGCAGAGCCAAGCTTACAGAGCCCCTGTGGAGAAGGCAAACACACACAGGATCAGCGATGTAGAAGCCTGAGGCCAGACCCCGCTCACATGGGTCCCTGTAGCCAGAATACCTCCCTGTTTTCTCCCGCTGGGACAAACCTCTCTGAATTACACAACTGCCTCAGGTGCCACCGCCTCTGCAACGCCTCTCTGACACTTTAGGTTAGGGGAGGCGCCCACAAAGCTAAAGGCGTAGCGAGGGATGGTTGTGTACATCCATATTCGCAGCATTTGGGAAGCTGATGCAGAAAGATCACAAGTTCAAGGGCAGCCTGAGCTACACAGTGAGACTTTATCTCAAAACACACAAAAAAATGCTGGAGGCTTTTACCTGCCCTGCTCCTCCTCCATTCTGACCTCATAGGTTCCCTAGCCACATCCAGCAACTGCTTGCAGTGGTCCAATAAGTGCCCAAGAGGTTGTCATTGGGGAACAAATCCAGACTTGCTAAATGTAACCAAACTGGACTCTTGTCAGGAAAAAAAACAAAACAAAACAAAACAAAAAAACTCTTCTGGAAGAGAAAATTCACCACGGCAGAGGCTGAAATTAGTTTTTTAAAGTTTCATATAGATTTGAAAAAAAGATCAATGGCTGTAGTCTCTGTAATTGTTTACAAGATAAAGAAAAGATCAATAAAAATAATTTCAGTAAAATGAAAATGGAAAAAATAAAACACGTTTAAATTTAACTGCGCCACACAGATGCTTACTAAGGAAACTGACTTTTTGGCGTGTGCTCTGAAAGCACTTTCTGGACAAAGCTCATCAGTGTTCCTGTCCTCACAGGACAGGGAACATCCGCTGAGTCAAGGACCACCCAACACTGCATGTCACCCTTCCACAGAGGCCTATGGGTGAGGCTGGCGCCCCTAGCGTGTGCTCCTCACTTCATCCTGGTGACCCAGTGTCTGGCTCTGGCCTAGGTAGGCAGGGAGTACCAAGCCCACTTACCACCAGTGTGCGAATCTTGATCTTCTCATTTTTGGTAGTCTTGTAGATTTGTTTGAGCAGTGTCACGCCATTGGTGATGATGAAGGTGGCCCGGCTGAGCTTGGTGGAGGCGTGGATGAGGGCCTCCACGGCCACCAGCTGGTCCACCTCCCGCTCTGAGCCACACAGCGCCACCATCATTTCCATCACACCTTTCATTCCCAGCAGCTGATTGCCCAGGTCAAAGGGCCCCTGCAAGATCCCAGATACAGTCTGGATGGCGATCACATTCTTATCCATGTCCTGAGGGTCAAACTTGTTCCTAAAACAGAGGATAAGAGTTGGCAAGAGAATTGGCCCAAGGGGAAAAGAGTGTTAGATATTGTGAGAGTTAAGCTTAATTGTCAACTTGATTGGCTTGGGAGGCACCAAGCTTCCTGGCCCCCATAAACTGAGCCACTTTGCCCTGCACACTTCCACCATGATGTTCCCACCTTGGAGCCAGCTGATCATGGACCAAATCCCCTGAGACCGTGAGCCAAATTTAGCCTCTCCACCTTTAAGTTGTGGATGTCGATATTGTGTCCCAGCAATGGGAAAGCTGACCAATACAGATGTGAAAACAGACAGACCTGCCACTCCTGTGCTATGTGATGTTGGGAAGTTCACTAGCTCTCTCTGAGCCTCAGAGGGATGGGGCCTTGCATGTACTAGGGAGGCACTGCACTGAACTACAGTCTTTGTCCAGAAATATTTTGACACTCCTCCCTTCACACAGTGGAACCTAATTCTCTCCCTTGAGACCAGACTGGAAGTAATGTGGTGGAAGTGATGATGTGTGTCCACTCAGGCCGGAGTAAGAAGACACTGCTCTTCCTCTTTGTCCTTTAAGAGAGCTCATGCTAGGGAAGCCAGCTGCCACGTGGTAAGGACTCTGCAGGAGCCTATGAAGAAATCCTGTCACCCACAGCCAGCACCAAAGAGCCAGCCATGTGAGTGCGCCATCTTGGAAGTCTCTCCTGCCCCGCCCCAGTCCAGCCTGCAGATGATTCTAGCTCAGACCAACCTATGACTGTAGGTTCATGAGAGACCCCAAGCCAGAATCACCCAGCCAAGCCGTCCCTCAATTTCTGTCCTGAAGCAAGATAAGAAGTGTTTATCATTCTTTTGAGTTGCTAACTATTGGGATAACTTTTTACACACCCATAGATATCTAATACAGGGCCTGGCTCTGCGAGGCCTCCGGAGAACTCACGTGATGTACTCCTCGCAGATCTTGCGGAAGTGCTCCCGCTCTGGATCACAGCGCAGGTCATCGTAGAGTTTGTTGATGAGGATGGAGGCCAGCATGCAGGTGTTGTCGGTCAAGGGCAGGCAGGAGGGCAGGTCTGGCACCTGCCCTACGACCTTCAGGATCTTCCTCAGGCCTGTAGGGTGACAGCAAAAAGTGTAAGATCCCAGATGGGCTTTGTCCTCACAAACACATGCCTCACTCAGCAATGTCTTGTCTCAGGCTTCACTCAGCCCTGGCTGTGGGCAGCACATGGCTTATCCAGAGTGCAGAGGGCACTGGAGTGGGGACAGGAAACCCGGGATGCCCGCGTAGTTGTGTCCTACCCTGTGCACCCACCTCCCCTTTGGGGTCTCTACTTTCACGTGGTCAAAATCAAGATTAACAAACCTTGGAGGACTGGAGCAAGGATAATAGTCTATGGATCGATGTATAGAATCTTCCTACTGTACTATTTTATGTTCTCTTTTCCCTGTGACTCAATGTCTTTAGTTATAAAATAGAAATAACACAGCCTACCTTACAGCACTTGAGGACTTAGATAAGAATATAATGTGGGGCTGGGGATTTAGCTCAGTGGCAAAAAGCGCCTGCCTGGCAAGCGCAAGGTCGTGAGTTCGGTTCCCGGTACTGGAGAAAAACCAAAAACCAAAAAAAAAAAAATAAAAAAAATAAAAAGAATATAATGTGTAGAAATGGCCTAGTGCCAATACAGAGACATTGTTATCAGTCAGTTCACATCTATTATTTATTCAGTAAACACTATATTTGTTATTTATTATTATTGCCCCTTTTCATCTCTTTGGTTAAAGGATCATCAATGGCTTTCTCCATGAGACTAATTCAATGGTCATATATTTGTTAAAATAAGTGAAAGATTAAATGAGCACCTGTTAGGTGCGGGCTTTACTGCTGTACAGAAAACAGGCTCCTAAAGATGACAGCAGAGAGTGACAAAAGATGACAAAGTACAGAGTAGAGACACTGCAGATGGCTCCAACAAAGTAAGAGTTGCAAATTATTTTGAGCACTCACTAGGTGCCAAGAGGCCTATCCATGTTACCTGATTCAATCTAACGATAAACCTACCAGTTGGGAATCATCATTACCATCTTTCAGAGCAAGAAAACCAAGACTTGGAAAAGTCAGGTAGGTTGCTCAAGGTCACAGACCTGGTAGGTGACATGGTGACATGCTGATGACCCTCTCCCCGTAATATCTAATCAGAGCCCAAGGTGTTAACCATTGGACAACACTGCCTCTGGGACAAGGGACAGCTTGACCTCAGAGCCAGGGTTTAGAGGGGGCTTGGAGTTGGTCAGATCAGGGATGGTACTAGAATATGGGAAGAAGAACATTAAATGTAAATGCAGGGAGACATGTGACTCTGCATGTTAAAAGGGACTCAAAATGCCCAGCAGCAAATGTCATGCTGTGTGTCTTTTACCATCCTAAGGGAAAATTCTGTCTCCTCTCTACTACTCTTCTCAGCACTTCACATGTGACGCCCGCTGGGCGTCCTACAACACACATCAACTCTGACACTGTCTACCTAGGCTTCGCACAGACTCCACAGGAGAAGAGCTCATCCCAGGGCTGCCTTCACTTCAGCCTGTGGTGGCAGGTGGCAAGACCTAGGTTTTCTATAACTTCTGTCCAACCTGGCTACCAATGGAAGCCCGCACCATCCCCTCTTCAGCTTGAGGAACTTGCTAGAACAGCTCTCAGAACTCAGGAAGACAGTTTACTTATTAGATTACCAGTTTAGTATAAAGGATGCAACCAGGAATGGCTGGATGGAAGAGAGGCACAGGGCAGGGTTTAGGGAAGGGATGTGGAGCTGCCACACCCTCTCCGGGTACGCTGCCTTCCCAGCACCTCCATGTGCTCCCCAGGCAAGAAGCTCTCGGAACCCCTGCGGTTACTTTTCCTAATGGAGGCTTCCTGTTGCAGACAACTGATTAATCACTGGCTGTTAGTGATTAACCCAACTCAAAGCCCTCTCCCCCCACCGCTCACCTGAGGTCAGAGGTGTGGTGGGAGCTGGTGGAAGAAAGTTCCAACCCTCTAACCACAGCTCTGGCTCCCCTGGCAACCTCCTCCCCTCCATCCTGACCCCCAGCCTTTAGTCATTTTGTCAGCATACGCAGACATTTAGCTCACAGGAGGTCCCAACAGTTGTAAGAACTGCACATCAGGAAACAAGTGCAGAAAACAAACACATATTTCTCCCCCCACTTCTTCTCCTTCTCCTTCTCCTTCTCCTTCTCCTTCTCCTTCTTCTCAAACAGAGTCTCACTGTGTAGTCTAGTAGTCCAGGCTGTCCTTAAACTTGTGATCCTCCTACCTCAGCCTCCTGAGTTCTGGGATTACAGGTCTATGTCACCATGCCTGTCTCAAACATGTATTTCTTATTCTGTCATAACCACCTACTCAGTGTTTGGCAGGGCTGAAAGGGACCTGATGAGCCAACCCAAATGCCCCAATCTGGTGCCCAAAGGCCCATGAAATGCACCCACTCCACCTCCCATCACATCCCCAGTCTCACCTCCCACTTCTCCCTGCCACCCTTCCCGAGCTTTGAGTGGACCGACTCTCTTCTGCTATAACACTCTGACCTTCCTCTTCATCAATCATTGTCCCTTCCCTACACCAAGACCACAAGAGCTCACTTCCGGTTTGACCTCTGAGCGGTTCTCCTACCACTGCAGATTGCACTATACAGACACTCAACTCTGCAGCTTTGCGTCAACGTGTTGGAATTTTAAAATCCACTTCATCTTTACTCAGGTGCTATTCATTTTGGTGCCCTTCACAAGAGCAGAATAACAAATATTGCTCCTCAATCTCTCTATCCTATAAACTGTGTGGCTGAGTCTACAGCCTGGTGCAGAGAGAAGGGGTCATTGCTGAAGCTCTATGTCTGTAATTTATTCAGAAAAGACCAGAGCTGGGAAGGAGATCATGTAGGGGCATCCCTCAAGCACTGCTTGGTTAAAATCTAAGCATCTGCATGTGTACTTTACTGGGATCTACGAAGAAACAAACAAGAGAAATCCAATATCAGAAGATATCAAGCCCGCAAAAGCTGATTCAAGTCTCACGGTCTGTGTTATAAATCCTGTGGGCAGCCGAACCATAGCAGATGATAAAACCACAGATCTGATTCCTAAACAGTTAAAGAAGTTGATTAAGGGACAGTTAATACCCTGGAGCCAACAAATTACACAACTATCTGCCAGAATCTTTTACTATTCTTGGTGCTATTTTCTCTCTTCTAGAGGCCTGGGGAGTATTTACCAACCATGAGACTGCAGGATGTTATCCTGTGGTTGATGGACTCCTGCTTGTTTTTTGAACATGACCCTATTTTGAGGAGACTCCACCTAGATGCTTTGGTGTGTGCTTGACATTTTCTAGGTATGCTGAGGCCCTGAATTCTGCAACTGAAGACTCCTCCAGACAAGAGCCTTGCCTCTTGAGCTTTCTGCTCAGTGCCAGGTACCATGGTGTCCACTAAAATGACCAGAGTGAGCCCTACCCGCCCCCCTCTCCTCACCATTATCCACCACATAGATGGTGCGTGAGTTGTCATGGATGGCCAGGTCCTTCCTGGGGACGTTCTTATTGAGCAGGTTCAGCGCCTGGTCCCTGCCCTGGCCAGACACCTTCTTGCTGACCAGCATGTCAAGCAGGTGGGTGGTGATCTGCTTCAGGTCCTTCTTGGTATCTGAGGAATGCAGGACAGGCATGAATAGAGGGCAGTAGATTTTGGTTTTCTTTGGGTTTTTTGTTTGTTTGTTTTTGGTACCAGGAATCGAACTCAGGACCTTGCACTTGCCAGGCAGGTGCTTATGCAGCTGAGCTATATCCCCGGCCCTGGAGGGGAATAGAAAGTCTTGGGTAGGTAGGGTCAAGAATGACAGAAGCTTCTAGAAAGTTCCAGAAATATTGAACCCACTGCTTTCTAGATATGTGAATTTCCTGGGAGAGTGTAATATTGTTCATGTTACCACAAAAAAGGAGAAGAAAGTCCCTGTACAAGCCCAAGCGTCCTGCAACTATTCTGAGCATGGTTTTCTACCACAGCTCATTCTAGCTTTGAACAGCTCTGCTTCTTAGAAAGTCCTTCAGCTCCAGGCTATGACTGGCAGAGGTCCAGGGACATAGTAGGTAGGTTTTTATTGTTCTGTGTTCATTTTTGGTTTTGATGGTAATAGGGATTGAACCCAGAGGCTCGGCAATGCCAGGCTAGCACTCTACCACTGAGCTATGTCCCATTCCCATTTTTATTTTGCAACAGGGTCTCACTAAGTTGCCCAGACTGGCCTCACACTTTCAATCCTCTTGCCTCTGTCTCCTGAGTAGCTGGGATTACCATTGTGCTGGGCTGCGTGATGTACTTCTCAATAAACAAAGTTAATAAAGTATTTTCCAGAAAGGAAATGGATACTCTTCATAGACATTTCACTCCCCTGGAGATATATCAGGGTGTTCTGGGAGCCTGAATTCCAGTCTTTTCCTGTGATACCAGGATTTCCCTGCCTGCCAGTAGATGCGAGAAGACCAAGGTCTGTTCTGCTTCTGTTGTCTGATATCCTCAGACTCAGAGGGACTTTTCTTCTCATTTCTCCTGTGTTAAGGCTTAATAATATTCCTATACGCATACACTGTGCCACACTTTCCACATCTCGTCCTCCGTGATGGATGCTGGTTTGTTCTAGCTTTGGCTGCTGTGAGCATCACTGTTGTGCCTTGCCTTCTTTTATCGGCACAAAATACCGGGTCACCTCCACACACAGGAAATGCCCATTCTGAGGTGATGACTGACTCTCTCCTTGTCCTTCACTTGAACCGAAATCGAAGGACCTCTCCTACCTAGAACCAGGGCCTCCTCCTTCCCCCGGTGCTCCTGCTTGTCCTGCCCAGACAGGGAGTCGATGATGGCCTGGAGCAGGTTGCACACGGCCAGCGACAGCTCCTCGTTCTCCACGGCCATAAGGCTGCAGATTCGGTCTATGCGGACTGCGTGCAGAATGGCCGTGGTCTGGACCCGAGGGAGGAATCACAGTCAGCAGCCCTGCCCAGCCCTTATGGCTGCCCCACTCCGCACCCCAGGGAAACGAGCCAGGAGCCAGTGCTCCATGGGGCCCACAGTGTGGGAATCCTCGCTTCAGAGATTCAGAGCTGTTCCATTCAATACAGTAGCCCCTTGCCCCAGGTGCCCTTGCAGGGCTTCACCCGCAGACCCTTGCCCTCACAGCCCTCTGCACAAAGCACCGCGTCCCCAGGTCCTCACCCTGGCTTGGTGGCCACTGCACATGCCCGACAGGGTCCGCACCGCAGCCAGCACCAGCTCAGGCCTCTTAGTGTCCAAAAGCTGCAGCAGCAGGGCCACTCCATTGTTCTGGAAGATCCTCTCGGCCCCCGCCTCCTCCCGGCCCAGGACGATGAGGTTGTTGGCAGCCTGGAGACAGAGGCAGTGAGTGTGAGACAGAGCTATGACTGCAGAGGCTTGGACCATGGGGCTGATGCAGTGACTGGGCCTTCAGAGCACGGCTACCTTCTCCCTCCTCATAACCCCTCTCCTGGAAACACGGCCCCAACACGCAGTGCAGAAGAAGTCAGAGGACCTTGCAGAAAGGCCAGTGTGATGAGATGCACTGCAGCCATTAAAGTGGTGGGTTAAAAGCTACAGAGCCACTGGGGGAAAACACCAACAAGGAGAATCAGCATCGTGTACTCACTCTGATTAAGCTGACATTGAAACAAAATTGGGTAGGCCTGTTTACGGGGGGCTGGGACAAGACTGGGAAATGAAGAATTTTTACTAAAGAACCATTTTCCTTTAACATGTTTCCTTTCATATGGTCTCGGCATGTCTTTTTGCCCACGCCCCAGTTCGGGGCAGTCTGAAGTTGCAGGGATTCTCAGGAAGGGGGAGGTGGTGGGCAGAGAGAGAGTACTAGATGCGGCCTGAAAGCCCAGGGTTTGGGCTCTGATTCTGCTACCTGCTAGCTGTGAGGCTGCGGGGGAGCCGTGGTACCTCTCTAGGCCCCCAACGCCTCATCTGAAAACTTTGGCAAGTGAGCTAGATGGTTCCCAAATTGCCCTCCACCCTGAAGTTTCAGAATTGGGCCCAGATCTGGAGGAGGAGGCCTCAAGCAGCACCTGAGAATCCAGGACTGAAAGAAGAACTCAGAGGGCAGAACGACAGGGGCAGCAGACAGAGAAATCCAAAGGGGACCTGGGCTGCTGCCAACTATGACTTTTGTTTATTTGTTTGCTTTTGGCTTTTTAAGAAGGGTCTCTATGCAGTCCACGTTGGCCTTGAACTCCCTATGTAGCTCAGGCTGGTCTTGAACTAACAGGTGTGTGCCACCATGTTCTGCTGACTTCATTTTTCAAAACCATTATAGGCCAGGTATGGTGGTACACACCTGTAATGCCAGCACTCCAAGAGGCTGAGGCAGGAGAACAGCAAGTATAAGCCCACCTTGGGCAACTTAGTGTCTTAGCGAGACCCTTTTTAAAACAATAAAGAACAGGCTGGGGATATAGGTCAGTGCAAAGGCTCCATCTTCAATCCTTAGGACAGAAAAAGAAGTTATTTTATCCGTAATAACTCGTTATGCCTCCCAAGGGTTTGTTATGTAAGATATTTGCATATCATATGGATTTACTGACCCTAAAACTAACAACCGTCCCCCAGGCATTGCTTGTCAAGTTCTTATAAAGGCATAACACTCAGATATTCAGTGTTTTTCCTCTGAAGGTAGACTACAAAGGGCTAGAGAAAAAAATCACAACAAATCGAGTTAAGAAGATCACTGTGTATTTTAATGTTTCAGAATGTCTTCTTTGCAATATTTCCAAATGAAACAAAACCATATTTGAAAGTGTTACTGTTTTTCGGGGCTGAATTTACAGTGAGGTATTTCTTTAGGCACAGGACTTAAGGAGACACAAAAAAGTCATCTGGATACATAATATTTAGAGCAATATTTTTAAAAAATCAGTATCAATGCCAAAAACCCATGATGAATGAAACACTATAATTTTAAATAGAGATCAGTTCCGAACCTGAACCGTGGCTGTCCACACCAGATTCACTCTCATTCTGGTCTTTCTGATGGTTAGCTTAACTTTAGGGCAGTTTTCCTCCAGATTCCTCGAACACACACACACACTCTCCCTAGCTCACCCTCTATGGTCCAGGCCCTGCGTTCCAAAGAAAGGGCCTAGGGCGGGAGGCATCGGTCCGAGTGCGCCCTCTGCTGGCCAGCGCCGTGCGGCACTCACCTTTTCCCGTTTTTCTGCCTCGCTGTTTGGGTCCAAAAGGATTTCAAACATCGTCTGTACCCTCGAGTCTGTGGAGAACTGCACGTGGAGCTGAAGAGAGAAAAGGGTGCAGCGAGGGGAGCAGGTCAACATCATTTTGGTCGGCTCATCTCGGTAAAATTTTAGCGTCTACTCTGAGCTCCGGTACATCATGCACTGATTCATTAAACAAACGTTAAGTGACTAAAGACAGCACGCTGGACAATGTTTAGGATTCTGGGGAGATAACGCTGAGCAAAATCAAGTCCTTGTGCACAAAGCTCACAATTGGTCCCATTTGCTTATCACAAGAGTCCTGGAAGAGGAAGACCATCAGCCCTGTTTTAGAGCAAACAATCAGCTGTCAGACATTTATGTAGGGACAGAAGTAGAAATGTGTCTCCAGGTTCATAAATCTGAAGCGGCTTTCAAGATCACTTGGAGCAAATTGTGACTGTCACACTCCCCGCCCTGACCCCAGGGCTCTGGTCTTTCATACAGTGACGTAACTGATGGTCTCACCAACACTTCTTGGTCTACTGCTGGTCTACACTCCCACCTCTCAATGGCTCAAATTTTTTGGGAGGTGCCTCATTCGTCTGCCCTCTCTGATCTCTCCTCCGTGTTTCCTTGGCCCTGAGTCTGCACCCTGGTCAGAAGGCTGTCACACTGGTGTTACTGAGTGTGCTAGTTACTTTTCTCTGGTTGCTGAGACAAAACACCCAGTGCCCAAAATTAAGGAAGAAAGAGGTTTTAGTCCATAATCAGCTGGCTCCCAGGCAGGGTGGCAGGGCACAGGGGCAACCATTCAAGGCGGCAGAAAGGCAGAAGCTGCAAGAGCAAAAAAGGGGAGAGCAAGCCTCTTTTCCTCCCTTATAGTGTAAGCAGGCTGAGGATGTTCATGAAGTGAGGACCTTGGCCCCCTGCTGAGTCACTTAGTTAAACTTCCCAAGTTGACACAATGTATCAACCATTACACAAGTCTGGGAGCAAGGAGCCAAAGGATCAGTTGCCCACCTCCTCACATGAAGAAAACCAACACTCCAAGGGGTCCCTCAGAAAGCCAGGAGCCCAGCCAGGACGAGCACGCAGGATGCCACACCTCTGGTCCACGCTCTCCCCACCCCACTCCATCTTCCTGCAGGAGATGTCATGTCCCCCTGGATCCCGACCCCTCTGTCCCTCATCAGTGTCCCCTGACTCCCAGGTAGTTCATGCTGCATTCATTCTCCTCAAAGAAGATGACCATGTGGCAGACGTACTATGTGATCTTAGTTTTTGCAGATTCCATCTGACTTAAATGGCCCACATTCTAGCCCCAGCTGACGCGTTCTCTGACAGCATCCCTGCACCTGTCAGTCACTCACAGGGATGTGCACTTGCTCAGCTGCACCGCAGAGCCTGCAGGTGCCGTTTGCTGTCCCAGCTCAGAGTGTGGAGGTGGGGCCAGCTCTGTACGGAGGCTCTGTGTCCCTATCAGTCTCCACTAGGAATGGGATGGGGGCAGCAAAGTTTAGCAGGAAGGAGTCCTGCTCACCTTCTCCTGGATGCTGGTGTTGAGCCTCCTCAGCGTCTCCTGGAAGTTCTGGTTCCGTGGCTCGAGGGTGGCACAGCGCTGCACGTCCTTGAAGGCCTGGTCCAGCTTCCCCAGGTGCTCGAGGGCTTGGCATCGTCGATACAGAGCCTTGATGTCTGAAGAGTTGATGTCAATGGCTAGAGAGGAGGGGCACAAGCAAATCCTTAGGGAGCCGTCTCCCCTGTTACCTGCCCCCAGCACTTGTGGACGACCTGGCCCATCCCTCTGTTGAGGCAGTGAGATCCAGAGAGTGAAGATTGGAAGAGAGCTTAAGCATCACCTCATCCGATTCCCGATGCTCTGGTCTCTGCTACAGAATCCTTGCCCAGGGATTGGTTAGTCAGTGCTTTCCTCCAGCACTGGGGAGCTCCCTCCCTCTCAGGGCAGGTGGGCAGTGCTATCACAAAACCCTTCCTTCGTCTTTCCCAAAATATACTTCGTGTAACTTTGTCTGTCCACACATGTCCTTTCTCCTTTGATCCTGAGTCCAGCCCTGGAGGTCCTGAGATGAAAGCCAATCCTTCCTCCTTGTGACAGCCTTTTAGTATCCTCTCTGTCCCACCGAGAGTTACATTTTCTGGTCTAAATCTGAGATGTGATCAAAAGGCAGTCTCGGGGGCTGGGGATTTAGCTCAGCGGCACAGCGCCTGCCTGGCAAGTGCAACATCGTGAGTTCGATTCCCGGTACCAGAAAAAAAAAAAAAAAAGAAAAACCAAAAGGCAGCTCTCCGTCCCACCTAGGAGTTGTCTTTTTTGGGCCAGATATGAGATGTGATCAAAATTTACTGTGAATGCTTAAATAAAAAGTATTTAGGACAGTAAAAGACATACTGTCATAACCCCCTTCAAAATACTCCTCTCACTTTGAACACACTTATCCCATTGTTCTTGTCACATTCTGGAGCAGCTCTGGAAGTCCTCTTTCCTGGGGGTCATAATGAGGTACGATAAAACATACAGTGAATGCAGCAGCCAAGTGCCATCCACAGGAAAGGCAGGCTCACTAAAACATTACCGTGTGTCTTCATCCTCTGTATTCATCAGACCTGGCACCGTGAGAGTACTGTCTCATCCTCGAAGTCAAAATGATCACAAAAGGTAAATCTTTCGAATCAATTCAGGATGTTGAGGCAGCCACAACAGCACAGCTAAAGGCACTCATGAAAGAGGACTTCCAGAGCTGCTTCAGAAAGCGGCAAGGACAACAAGAAAAGTATGTTTGAAGCCAGGGGTAGTATTTTGAGGGGGATTCATGGCAGTCCAACTTTTACTGTAATGATTTTTAAAACTTAAACATTCATTACATTTTTAAATCACACCTCGTATTACTGCTTCTTTGAACTGCTCTCTACAGAATGTTTCCTGTCCCTCCTGCAGCTGCTTCCCTCCCTCCTGAGCCCACCTCCGCCTGTATCATTGCTTCTCAAAAAAATAAAAAAGGTAACCAGATCAAAATTAAAATCCATCACAGTGCATGCTGGGAGAATGTGCGGGTCAAGGGCAGGGCAGGGGCAGCTCACCTCTGGAGGCATCTGCAGCTGCCTGGGCGTAGCTCTCCTGAGAAACAGGGAAGAAAGAGAGTCAGTGGGGGCTCAATACAGAGACCGACCCTGAGTGTCACCGCAGACGGGGGAGGGGTTTTTCCAGGGAGCAGCAGGCTGTGAGCCACCTAGGTGTAGCCCTAACCAGGCTGGAGAAGTAGACAGGTTTTGACAGCAGACAAACCTGGGCTCAAACTGGCTTGGCTCTGCGGCCTCCTGGAGGGGCCTGAGCAGATTAACCAAGACCTCTGCGCCTTGAGCTTTGTGTCTACAGTATGAAATCGTCATACTTGCTATCCCACTGGATGATCTTAAAATGCTAGAAAATAATGCCAAAAGCAGCTGGAGCTAGGCTGCTTAGATCAGGATGAATTTCTGTCTGTCCAGAGCAGTGGGTCTGGTGGCAGCAGTTGCTCTTCTCCAACCTGAGGGGTTCAGGTGCGATGCCTGGGACTAGGGCATTCCCATCAGACAGGCGCCCCACAGCCCTGCCTCCCAGCCCGAGTCCTCAGCCCGTGTCCTGCCCGCCATGCTCCACACCGTTTTCAGGCCACAGGCAGCCCGGTTCCGATAGAGTGTGGCCAGCAGCGCCTTGTCCTTGGTCAGCTTCAGGGCTTGGCTGTAGCTCTTCGTGGCTGCCTTGTAGTCCTGGAGCTGGAAATGCTGGTTCCCTTCCTCCTTCAGCTGCGCTGCTTCTGCTTCTGCCATCTGTAGGGAGAGAGCAGCCTGGTCAGCCTGTTGCTCCAGGCCCAGGGCAGGGCAGGACTCCTGGCCTGAGATCCAGAGCTCCAGATCCAACCCTCACCAGAGTGGAGGGTGGGGATCCTGCCTGGAATGGACCCACCCGCTACCACCCCAAATCCTGAAGGACCTTATAACATTGGCTTGGAGCTTGATCCCCCGTTGAGAGGGTGTCAGCACCCCTGTGCTTCCTTCTTTGTCCCTCCCAGCACGGTGGATGAAGCCACCGCACCAGAGTCCTGAAGGTTCGCAGTGCCTCCTCCCTGCCCAGCTCCCGGACCAGCTCACCCTCTCAGCAGGGCCACCTCCTCCAATGCTACGCCTAAAGTCGCATCCACATGGGCCAGAGGCCTCAGTCTCCCCTCCCACCCCACCCGGGAGACTTTATCACCCCAGCTGGTGGCTCCACACCATATTTGGGCACAGGGGCAGGTGTCCCTGCAGTCTGTCATTGATACTCAAGGCCCTCCCCCTCCCCGGAGTGGACAGTCATGACCACGTGGAGGTGCTGGCCATCCTCTGCCCCTTGATTACCCTGCCTGGGGTGGGGGTGGGGGGCTTTCTGATATACATTCTGCAAAGACTGAAAGTTCCAGAAGGAACATGAAGCCCCAACAGACCCCCCTGGCTAGGCACAGCTCTAATGCCCCTTCTCTACCTCCTTCCCAGATAAACAATCTCCTCCCCCCTTCCCTGCTATTTTGGGAGCACAGTGGCAGCTGAGCGACAGGCAGACTTGGACACAGAACAGCTGCCCAGGTCCCTGACCAACTGGAGACTTCCAGAAATGTCTTTGTGGAGGGAGGAGAAGGCCAGGAGGAGGAAATATCCTTCCTTCTGCCATTGGTTCTCACTCCCAGTACCTCGGCCCGCACCTCCCATGTTTTGGTTGTTGAAAATGTCCTTGTTTTTCAGGAAGACGAACAGGACTTGCTACCTTGGTGCAGCGGGAGTGGGTTGCTATTTGGGTGTCTGTGTTGTCCCCTGCCCTCCCTCTGTCTAAATATGGCCACTTCCCCCACATCTGACTGGTGGCTCCCTGAGGGTGGCTCTGTTTCTCCCCCATCAGACTGAAATCTCCTTGGCTGGAGACCAAGGGCTGTGACCCCCACCCCCCCAACCAGGGACCACTCCTGGGACAAGCAAGTTTCCCTCATCAGAAGAGGGTCTTCCTGGGCATGGTGCATTCACCATCACAAAAGGGTCGGTCTGGGGCGGATGCTGTTTCTCTTCAGCCAGTGGAAGGGCCCCAAGGCATAGTTACAAGACCGTCCTCATCAGACTCAGCCAAGTCTCTTGCTGGGACCTCTCTCCAGGGTGTCCAAGTCTGGCCCATGATCTTCCTCCCAGAGGTCAAGGACAGTAGCTCTGGCAGCTTGGCTCCTCTGGGAAAGAGAAGCCTGGCAGAATCAGTGCCCGATGTGTGCTTTCTAAATGAATGAATGAATGGCATCTTCATGCTGATGCTTTGCCCCATTCACCTCTATTCTTCCCTATTCCCTGTATATCTCCAAATTTACCTGAAAGAGACTAAAGGAGATGCATAGACTGGGTCATCCACACTGGAGCATGTTCCCCTCTGTGACTTTGGATATGGGGACACACAGTTAAATTCCACTGCCCTGCTGAGCATAAGATCAGTTTAACACATGTTTTGTTTTGAGATAGGATCTTGCTATGTTGCCTAAGCTGGCTTCAAACTCCTGGGCTCAAACAATCTTCCTGCTTCAGCCTCCCAAGTAGTTTGGACTACAGATATGTGCTACCACACCTGGCTAAGCATGTTTGTTGAATGAATGAATGAATGAATGAATGAATAAATGAATTCCCTGTCCTCATGGTATCCCAAACCGTAAGCCCCACTAATGGAGTGAGGAATGAGGTCATATTAAAGGATCTCACCATTAGCAGAGAACTGTGGTGCTGTGACTTTAGAGCTGAGGAATATAGATTCAAATCCCAATTCAGTAATCCCTCCCACAAGCATTTCCTACGCCTTTTGTATGCACCAGGAACTGCCAATAATCACGGAAGCAGAGAACACTCACAGGGGCAAGGATCTGTGTCCAATTCCCTCACATATTCCCAGTGTCTATAACAGCACGTGGTACAGAGCAGTTGACTGAATTAATAGAATAATTCCATGGATCTGTGATTTCTAAATATGAGGATTAGGATGTTTGGAAAACACAAATGAGGGAAATGTGATGTTTTAGAGAAAGTTTCCTCAAGTGAGAAATGAGTTAATATAAGCAGAGTTCCAAGAACAATGTCTGGGAGAGGGTAGGTAGTCAACACATTGGATGGATGGATGGATGGATGGATGGATGGATGGATGGATGGATGGATGAGTGTGTAAGGCAAGACTGAAGAATGAGGAACTGTTTCTTACTTGGTTGGTTTGGGCTGCCATAACAGACTTCCACAGGCTACGAGGCTTAAACAATAGTCATTGACTTTCTAGCAGGTCTGGGGTTGAGAAATCCGAGATCATGGTGCCATCGCTATTGGTTTCTAGCATGGCCTCTCCCCTCTGCCACCTTCTCAATTCACAGGGCCTCTTCCCAGTGTGAGCTCTGAGCACAACTGCGGAGGTAGGGAGAGAGGGTGAGGGAGAGACAGAAGGAGGAGGGAAGTGCTCTAAAGTCTTTTTCTTCTTATAAGGGCACCAACTCTGTCTGATTGGGGCCCTACTTTTGTGACCTTACTTAACCTTTATCAACCTTTATCACCTCCTTATAAGACCTGTATTCTTTGGGGCTGGGGATTTAGCTCAGAGGCACAGCGCCTGCCTTGCAAGCACAAGGTCGTGAGTTTGATTCCTGGTTCAGGAAAACAAAAAAAACAAAAAAAAGACCTGTATTCTTTGATCTGTGTGTTTGCGGGAACACAGTTCAGACCCAACTGTCCCAGGCAGAGAAAACTGTACGCAAAGGCCTTGGTTCAGGAAGAACCCAGAAAACGCCAGCAGGATTTGATCTTCAAGAGAGAAAGGTGGCTGGAGATGACAGGCTGAGAGGACCATAAACGGGAGTCTGGTTTACTCCTGTACATAAGGGAGCTGTGCCAGGGAATTAGGGGGAACATTTTGTCAGTAACAGATCAGGTTTGAGGGTTGAAAAGGTCAGCACGGAGAATGGATGAGAAGAGATGGAATGGAGACAGACAGGTGAGATACGACTCTGTGTCATTCAGTGTCGCTGTAGGGCTGGAGAGAACAGACCCAAGCTGGTTAGTGAGCAGCAATGACAGAGCTTCCAACTGCGTGCGGACAGGGAGCCAGGGGCAGGAGGTTGCTGCCGAAGATCCCAGGTGCCGCACAAGAAAGCTCACACCCAGTGAGCTTTCCTCATCTGCAGCATGGGGCGGAAAGGGGGGTCATGAGAATTAAATGAGCTATGTATGTAAAGCCCTTCGCACCCTGCCTGACACAAGGCTGTCATTTTTCTGTAGTCCGCGTTTGTAGTAATACTGATTGCATTCATCACGGGGAACCAGTACAGGTACGTGACACTTACATCTGAATTCTTTTTACCTCGCCTTCCCCTCCTCTCCTTCGCCCTTCACCTCTTGGCACAACGCTATCATTACCATGATTCGTATTTTCTACAGTGTTGATAACTGTGAAGACTGATTGCTTCTGTGCTCATCAACTATTATTAATTGGACCCTGCCCTCAACCCAGTACTTGGTTCCTGGCTTTATAAGCCACGCCTGCAGGGTGAAGCTGCCTAGAACGCAGCCCATTTAACCTTTGTCTGGTAAATTAATTACTCTCTTAGCTCCTCAGTTTCCTCCTCTATGAAACTGGACAAGAATCCTTGTTGTTAGGGCATCCTCGGCACACAAGAATTTACGAATTAATTAACAGGGCACCACCAGAGGCCGGGAGCGGCGTGACTCCCCCTCCGGACGCTAGTGGGCGCTGTGGCTACCGGCTGCTCTCATGACGCGGAGGCGGCGCTCTGCTCGTCCCGAGCCTTCCTACTCCACGTGGGGGTGCAGCATGGCGGCGGAGGCTGCGGTGGGTGTGAGCGGATGGGGTCGGGGCGCCGCGGCTCGGCACTGGGCCGGGTCCCCGAGGCCAGAGGGAGGCGAAGCGGGGACCTCACGGTCGGGCGGCGGGGCTGACGGCCGCCCCGCTTGTTCGCACAGGACGAGGCGGCGGCGCACGACGTGCAGCGGCTGCTGGTGCAGTTCCAGGATGAGGGCGGCCAGCTGCTGGGCTCCCCGTTCGACGTGCCGGTGGACATCACCCCCGAGCGGCTGCAGCTCGTGTGCAACGCGCTGCTGGCGCAGGTGAGCGGGCCCCGGGAGGACCGGGAGGCCGAGGGTCTGGGGCTCGGGGACACGGGCGGCCCGCCCAGCATGAGTCCCCGCCTGCCTGCCGGGAAGGACGGGAGATGGAACAGCGCGAAAGCACCTAGAGCGTTCCCCGGCGGAGAGCAGCGTTTTGAACGCGTGGAGTGCGGTAGTTCCCTCACTCCTCGTCACAGCCCAAAAAGGAGACACTTTAGGGTTTTTGTTTTTTTTTTTTTTTTTGGTACCGGGAATTGAACTCAAGACTTCGCACTTGCCAGGCAGGCACTGTGCCACTGAGCTGTATCCTAGGACCGGGCAGACACGTTAATATCTCCGTGTTACAGCGTGAAAGTATTAAATTACTAGCTTAGTGCCACGCAGTAGGTGTAGATTTGGAACTGGAACCAAAATCTGTCAGCCTCAAAACCCGTGCTCTTAACCTTTAAGCCCCTGTTTATCAAGGGCTACTGTCTGTTGAGGTGTTCTTAAAATATAGCTCCTGGACCCCACCCGACCTAAATCAGACCTAAACGCACGTTTGCTGAATGAACAAATGAATGAACGGATGGGTGGATGAATTCCCTGTGCTCATTGCAAACCAAACCCTGTGCTGCACTTGTGGAGCATGCAGTGGGATATTAAAGGAGCTCACTGTTCACAGAGAACTGTACTTCTGGGATCTTAGGGCCAAGGGATCCTAGAGTCAGCTCCAGATTCAGTAATTCATTCCACAAGTATTTCTTATCAATCCAGAGTGTCTGCGCTTTTAACCAGCTTTTTGGATGCTTCTTACACAGATATAGCATGGCATGGTGGTTTGGAAAACACTGCTTAACGTTATATGCTAACCCTAATCCTGGACTTTACTATTCTTTTTGAAGAACCTAAATTCGTCATTAGCAACAGGATATTGAATGAGTTACTTAGTTGCTCAGAGCCTGATTTTTTTTTACCCATCAAGTGGGGATATTAATGTCTAC